TTAAAGTATATATTATTTTTCAACGTCTTCAAACAATACAGTTTTTTTATTAAATCGATTGGTTGTTTTGTAACGTACGAGTATATAGTGACAGAATTCTAAATCTAAAAAAATGCGAAACAAGTTTATTATGACCAATATACCACTGCCATAATGCACGACCGGTATATTACATTATGTAGAAAGCTTAAAAGCGTGCTATAAGCTTTTTCTAGACCTTCACGATTTTGTAATTCAAGTGTATGATAAAGTTTTGGCTTTAGAAAGTTTACGTTTGAATCTATTATCTATTAAGGTATTAACGAAAATTAATTGTGCAAATCACTTTTTTAAACTAATAAAAAAGCGAACTAATATAACTAATACCACTATTCAAAAAAAACCAAGAGCAAATATTAAGTTGATTAAAATTTAAACTCAATTTTTTTAAATAAATAGGAAAGATTCTAGTTATAGGTAATTTGAATCTTAAAATATTTTTTTTAAATTTAAATACACTTAGTTTAATGTACCCGTTTTCTTTAAAAATTTTAGCGCTTACTACATTTTTGATGTTATGAACGGAACGCATTAAACAATTTTTAAAAATAATTATAATATGTTTGTTAATAATAATTTATAGCTGACGACGCGTAGATGAAAAAGTTTTTACTTAATGTTCTTTTAAAAATATTTTTTTTATATCCGCTTCAATTGGGACACCCCAAATATAAACGGAATGCAAAAGTGATAAAATAACTTTAAATTTATGTAAATATTTTACTATTCGAAATTCGTTTCCATAGTTCAACATTTTTAAGAGAACAAGCGGCATCTTCATCAGTTTAATGTTTTTGAGTTTTTATAATATTAACAATTCCCGTCATGTGTTTCGTTAAAAACAAAAAAAAAAAAAAAATTAGGGGAGAAAATAAGAATTAAATAAAATTTTGGAAAATTGGAAAATATTTCATAGTCTAGATCAGTGTTTTTTAACCTTTTCGATGTAATGCTCCCTTTTCAATGTGAAAATGTGCTTTCGCACTCCTGTGAAATTTAAATTACTTTTTACAAATAAAACAAAAATTAATTATAAATTGACTAAAAATTGTTTCCTGATCTTGCTCTTAATTATTTTTATGTGTATATGCATATATTACGACAGCCTAGTCATCTTCCCAGTTAAAAGTCTATGAAGCAACGAAACTGGGACATGACTATCTATTATATCTTTCATTAGCACTATGCTCCTCCTAGGAGTGAAGATGGAAAAAAAATATGTATATGTACTTATATCAAGAATTATCTTTTTTATACCCTGCACTTCGTGAAGGGTATATTAACTTTGGTATGGAGTTTGTAACTACTTGAAGGAGTCATCTGCGGTATGGACATATATATATATTCTTGCTCAGCGTAAAATTCTGCGTCGATTTAGACATGTCCGTCTGTCCGTCCGTCCGTCCGTCCGTCCGTCCGTCCGTCCGTCCGTCCGTCCGTTCGCACGATAACTCAAAAACGAATAATGCAATCGACACCAAACTTTCACAAGTTTTTTCTTTTGTGCCAAGGACGAGCCCTATTGTTATTGGACTAATTCGGACAACGGGTTCGGGTAGCTGCCATACAACTCAAAGAGTTTATTTTAAATATTTCAAAAACTAATAAAGCTATAAATATAAAACTTTGTATACATGTATCCAATTATATTCTACACATTCTCTAAAAATTATAATGGGATAGCTGCACCGGTTCGGGTGGCTGCCATACAACTCCAACAGCAAATTTTTTATATTTGGAAAAATAATAAAGTCAGATTCATGAAACTTGGCAGTCATGTGTCCAATTATAGGTCAAATATACTTCTGAAGTTTTAGAGGAATTGCTTTACAGGTTCGGGTACCTGCCATACAACTCCAGAAGCTAATTTTAAATATTTGGAAAAATAATAAAGTCAGATTCATGAAACTTGGCAGTTGGATGTCCGATTATAGATCAGATATATTTGTGAAGTTTTAGAGGAATTGCTTGACAGGTTCGGGTACCTGCCATACAACTCCAGAAGCTAATTTTAAATATTTGGAAAAATAATAAAGTCAGATTGATGAAACTTGGCAGTTGTGTGTCCAATTATAGGTCAGACATATTTCTAAAGTTTTAATGGGATTGCTTGACAGGTTCGAGTAGCTCCCATACAAGTCTTAAAGCTTATTCTTAATATTTGGAAAAATAATAAAGTCAGATCCATGAAACTTGGCAGTTGTGTGTCCGATTATAGATCATATATATTTGTGAAGTTTTAGTGGAATTGCTTGACAGGTTTGGGGACTTGCCAAACAACTCCAAAAGCATATTTTAAATATTTGGAAAAATAATAAAGTCAGATTCATGATACTTGGCAGTTGTGTGTCCGATTGTAGATCAGATATATTTGTGAAGTTTTGATGGAATTGTTTGACAGATTCAGGTACTTGCCATACAACTCCAAAAGCTAATTTTAAATATTTGGAAAAATTATAAAGTCAGATTCATGAAACTTGGCAGTCGGATGTCCAATTATAGGTCAGACATATCCGTGAAGTTTCTATAGAATGACTTCACAGGTTCGAGTAATTGCTACACAATAACGAAAGGTGCAGGGTATTATTCAATCGGTTTATACCGACTGAAACGTTTTTACTTGTTACAAGTTGATTTATGCATAAATCCGTCAAAAAATAGCACCGAAAACTACATACGTATGTACAATATACGTGTCCATATAGCAATACACATTACTATTTCTTGTTAAACACGTTATTCGAATTTTAATTGTTTCTCGTTCTTCTTTAGTATTTTATTTGTTGTTGTTATTTTAATTATGTGTCTTTTAATTTTTTCTCGTTTTTCTTTTTATCGACCGTTTTTCTTTTTATTGTGTATACAATGTGACGGCAACAAATTTTGGATGCCAAGTTTTCGGTGAGAATGCATTTCTCCATAGTAGGCTGTCGGTTTGGCGGATTGTTAGTCTATGGATCTGTATGTGCATGCATGTATTTAAAGTTCGGCTGAACCGATTTTGATGAAATTTTATGCATATGTAGGTTTATTTCGATTATGGCACGGATTGATCAACTTTTGGAATATATCAGACATCAGATATTTCTAGGTATGTTAACTAAAAGTTTATTAGTGTCGTAAAGAAATGTTTAAAACGTGTTTTCATAATACTTTGGAACTCTGTTACTAATCTATCCAATAAACATTGTGGTCGGTTATGTGGTGATCTAATCAGATTTTTCTATTTGTAAATATGTACAAATTTTATACGCGATATACGTGCATATGTACATAGTGTACATTTGTTTATATTTTTCTATTCTTGTGTCTTATTATTCGCGTAAAATGAATGTAGGTTTATTGTTATTAAGTTATTGAGAAAAAATATTAATTGTGATTTATGTACATTTCTATATATATTTTTTAAGTTTGGGTCTCATTTGAGACAATTATCTTTAGCTTTTACAAACATTTAGAAACGTTCCTTGCACTGCTATCTTCTCTTAATTGTCTTATCGCACCCCCGTTTAAGAATCACTGGTCTAGATAAATGCAGTATAGTTGGAAAATTTCATCAATGTTATAAATAACAGCATCAGCGGAAAGAACATAAGGCGAAACTCCTTTTTAAAGTGTTTCACAAAAAAAAAAAAAGAAAATATGTAAATATACAAATACACACAAAGAATAATGTTCATTTATAAATTAATCTATTTTATAATAATATTGAGTGATACACATATGCATACACACGCGCTTGCTTTCTTTACAAAATACTCTTGAAGAAAACATACTAAAAGTATGTTTTCATGTACGTATGCTTATTTATATTTGAAGTAGGAAAAATAATGTTTGTAGAAGAATATAACGGATGATGGTATGAAACAATAATGGAAATTATTAGTAAAAATTTGAAAATAATTTTTTCGTAATTTATTGATAGCATAATGCATAATGAGAGACTTGGTTTATTTTATGATGATGATCTGCTCCAGATGGGTGGGCTATAAATTAATGTTGATTTACATCAATGACGGGTTATTTTGCCTATAAAAACGTGGTTAGTGTATTTTTGTTTGTTGTTTTTTGTAGTGTATTTTTTTTGAAAATTCTGCTTTTTTAATTAAAGAAAAGAAGGGGTGAGGTAGAGAAGAAATGTAGAATCATAGAGACTTTTCAAAAAGAATATGCACATGATGAATTTAGTATTATATTAAAATAGAAAATGTTTCCATTTTTCTTAATCAATTCCATTAATGATTATAGGAGTTTCGAAATTTGGGATATTTTGAAATTTTCATAAGTATATCTTCTAAGATATTTTCATACATATATGAATAAATTAGCGTTATATGTAAATAGGAAAACTACAAAATATTTCTTTTTGTACCAATAAAAAAAAATTAGGTAAAAGTTTTTCAGTGTCAATTTAAGATAACAAAATTTTTACAATTGAATAAATGGAATTCCGACAGGAGTGGGATTTCCAAAATGACCTATTGCCAATTTAATGAAATTTTTTTATTGTATATTTATAAAAGAAACAACTTTTAATTTTGCTTTAACTTTTTAAAAAAACTCTCTTTTTATTAGTTGTATTTTATTAGAACTTGACTAATGATTTATTTATTAAAAAAAGCTAAAAAGTGGTTGGTTCTTATGTCAATTATTATATGTGTGCATTAAGATTGAAATATCGTCATTCAAATTTTTGTGCACGTTCAATATTCAATTTGTCTCCAAAATCCTTCAGTAGGCAATAAGCTAATTAAGCATTCCAGTAGGCAATTATAATTGATTGATTCCAGTATGTTTTGTTTGAAAAGAATAAATTTAAAATAAACATATATTATTAAAACAAGAAAAATATTTAAATTTACCATGTACAATTTTTAAAAAACTTAATTAAAAAAAACATGTAATATAGTTTTTGCATTTTTCATTAATCTAAAAATTTATTTTTTTTTTTATATTTTCAGTTTCAGACCATAAGTGAATCGTACGTTGAAATTTAAAAAACAAGCGATGATTATTCAAATGAGAAAAACGAAAAAACTAAAATAAAATGCGATATAAAATGAGCGGTGTACTTAGGGTTCATCTGGGATCAAATTTATTTTGGTTAATTCTAGTAGGTGCCCTAAGTTATACCGCTAATTCCATCCAATCCGATAGAAAAATATCACAGACTTCAAAACAGCTCCTGTATAAGTCTATAGCTAATTCAAATGCTGTTGATCCTTTTATTTCATCATTATCATCGTTACCTTCAACTTCATCCTCTGCAATATTTATATCAACATCTACTACAAGTTCCATATTTAATAAACAGGAGCAGCAGCAACAAAGGAAACGACTATCACAATTAGATGAAAATGTACAAAATGATAATGTAAATGATCACACAGCTTACGTATTCAAATTTGATCAGCCTCTATATAATGTGACAATACCAGAAAATAGTGTTGGTAAAACATATGCACTTCAACCTCCTAATGAAGATCGTTTAGGTATTCGTGTTATACCAAATTTAGATGTTAAATTCCGTATAGTTAGTGGTGATCGTGATAAGTTATTTAAAGCTGAAGAACGTTTAGTTGGTGATTTTGTATTTTTAGCAATTCGGACTCGTACCGGTATTGTGATATTAAACCGTGAAAAAACAGAAGAATATAAATTAGGTATAAAAGCATTAGCGACCCAATTCGAATTTAATGGTAAACATGTTTATGAATGTGAAACAACAGTAATATTAAAAGTATTAGATCGAAATGATTTAAGTCCGTTATTTTATCCAACGGAATATATGAAAACGGTGCCAGAAGATATGCCATTGCATAAATCCATACTAAAAGTAATGGCTGAAGATGCTGATTTAGGTATTAATGGTGAAATATACTATAGTTTTTTGGATGATAATGATTACTTCGCTATACATCCAACAAGTGGTGTTATATCACTTACTCGCAATTTAAAATATGTGGAGAAATCACTACATGAATTAACGGTGCTAGCTACCGATAGAGGTACTGGAGCTAATCATAGACTGAATCAAGCCAGCAAGGCTAAAGTAACAATTAAGGTTGAACCGGTAAGAAAAAAGCCATTATTTTTATTATTTAAATAATTTATAGAAACTATTACGATTACAGAATTAATTATACTTAACAAATAATATCGATTTAATAATTATATGATACATGTATATATTGAATGAATAAACTCTACAAGTAACTCATCCTCTCTGCTAGTTACTCTACAAGTAACTCTCTGCTAAAAGTAACTCATCTGAAAGACAAATACTTTAAAATACAATTTTTATCAATCTGCTGATTTCAAATATTAATTTTAAGAATTTTCAAGGACAAATTTCTTAAGTGTTTAAAATATCAGAATTATGGGAAAGCTATATTTCATAAATTAGACGCCTTTTTGTCCAGGTTTTTGCTTTTATTATGAAATGTTATTTATTGAAAAGTTTTCTATGGTGTTAGGAAGTTCTCATTATAAAATGCTTTCTAAAAAGTATTTAATGTGTGCTTTAGCACTCTAAACTGTGAAAATATTTGTATATGTTATAATATTGCTTACAAATGTATTGAGTTTCCACAATTTTCTTTCCACACCAATAAAACAACTTAACAAAATTTAACTTTCTATACGTAGATACTTTTGTATGGTTGAAAGAGAAAATTATTAGAGCAAAAACCAAAAATAGTGATAATTTTTTGGGCTTCTACATTTTAATAAGACCTCTAAAATTTTGAAACACAAATGATTTTTTTTGCTATATCATCAAAACCACAAAATTTTTCGACGTTTAATGATAATGATTTAAACTAAAGCAGCTTGGAAAATTCTTTGAACAAAATTATATATATTTTGTTCTTTACAAATGTAAAGAACAAAAAAATTCCTTCAGAAATCGGGGGAAAAAAAAGATAAGGGAAATTGGAATTTTCCTAGTATTCGAATACCTGTATGTCGGAATGAACTTGTAAAACCAAATAATGCGCCATCCTAGTATTGATTTGTATATCTGCATGCTCCATGAACTTCTGTCTTGTATTTTCCTTTTACCTCTTTTATTACCTTAAAATTGTTCTCCGTAATTATGTGATCCGTTTCGTAAATATGTTTCGCAATCATTTTATCAGAATTCCTGTAAGTTCCTACTATCCTTGCACGTTTTACCTCATTTAAATGTTTCTTAACCTTTTTTGTACCAGGTCTCTTCGTTTGGCCTATGTAAAATTTGTCGCAATTATTGCATTCAATTTTGTATACGCCGCACTTTTCATGTTTCCCCAATTTATTCACATTATTCAATTAATTTGTAATTTAACAAATAAATAAATAAATAAATTTCTTATTTTTTATTATATAAATTTGAATAATTACAACACGAAAAGTATATTCTAAATTAAATTCTATAAATTTTATTATTTTATTGAATTATAAATTAATTGTATAAAAAAAATATGGTCACTTTTAAAAAATCTATTCAGCAAATAAAATGCAAGTTTTTTTACTTGGTATTCAATTACGTAATATTCATATTATTTGTGACATAAAATTTTTTTATTAAAAAATATGTTGAATTGCAAACACTTACATTAAAAAAACTTAACAAAGTTGAAACATTTTATTCAAAATAAATTTCAAATATATTTATTTTAAAATTTTTATTTTTTTTTTTATCATTAATATTAGAATTAATTTTTTAATTCAATAATTTGTAACAAAATTATTAATATGTAAGCAATATTTTTAATTTTAGTATTAATTTGCATGGCAATTGATGCTTTCCTGGTCTAAGCAATTCGTCTGATATATAAATTTTTCTCTTACTGACACATAATTCAAACCAAAATATTTTCAAAATTATACCTCATAGCCAGATGTATATATACGTATATAAAACATAGCTAATATCAAAATAAAACCAATTATAAAACGCACATTTTATTGTAATATGTAAGTCAAATTTAATACCTTCATATTAAAAATAAATTATTTTTCTTAAATAAATTACTTCTGTTTTGAAGTAAACAACTATTGTAGCTTAACGGCTAATTTACAAAAGCGAGCACAATAAAAAAATGTGAAGTCAAATTTTTAAATTTCGCTCCCCGGCGGGTGGGGGTTCGAAATACCCGCAGTAGGAATGCTTGTGGTAAGAGTCCACAAATTCAGTACAAATCCAGAAGCGTGTGATACAGAATGGACGGCTGTCTGGTCTGCAACTGATCTGTGAGGGACGGCAGAATAAGGGCGTGTGGTAAAAGCAAAGAAAATATGTCCAAAGGCGACAAACAGAAAAATACCGATATGGGTGCAGTTAATGAAATAAAAGATCAGAAAATTCATAAACTTAATGGAATAAAAGATCAGAAAATGTACTATTTAAATATAAGAATAAGTGAGCTAGAAGCGCTTTGTAAAGAATTAAAAAATGAAATCCAGTATCTCTGAGAGGAAAATAATAAGCTAAAATTGGAATCAAGCAATGTAAATACAATAAAAGAAATAAATTCGGACAAAATTACGACAAACAAAGAGGAATACTGCACAGAAGAGGAGGATTTGGCAAGAGAAAAAGAAAAAAGCGAAGAGCAGATATGTCACCTGAAATAAGTCCTGAGGACAAGGTGATCAAAATTGAAAAATCTGTGCAGATAAATGCACTATAACATAGATCAAACGCTACAAGAAAAATCAACCCCTCCTGTTATATTAAGCAATGTGGAGGAATATCCAATTAAAACAGAAGCTCCTCAAAGAAGCCAAAATAAACTTTAGGATCAACATGATGAATAATAATCAACTTAAAATCAATGTTGATCAAGAACAAGATTACAGACAATTAACAAAAAAAATAAATAAATTTAAAGTAGAGTGGCATACCTACGAAAATAAATTGACAAGACCTATCAAGGTGATGGCTAGAGGCTTGCAACCTTCGCATAAAGAAAACAACATCACTATGATCCGACTCCCCCTCTTCATATTAATCTTTGAAAATTGGGAAGACATAAATGATATAAATGTTTTGTCAGCGTCTAGCTCAATGTGTCAAGTGTGCTGGTCCTCATTTAAGCAAAACATCGAAGCTCCAAAATGTGCAAATTGCTCTGAGGCGCATGCTGCGAATAACAGGAGTTGTATAGTCGTAAAAACATAAATAAAAACATACAAAAAAATATTCTCAAAACTCCAAAAAAGCCAAAAACAACTACATTGAGTAAAAGAGTGCAGGCAATACAATATGCCCAAATCGCGAGGTGTGAAACATATAACCATACCAAAGAACGAAGAGATTTACCACCTCAAAAGCCTGCTGAAAGCAATATAAATATAATGCAAATGTCGCAAAATATGATTAAAAATATGAACGAAATGTCATTGAGATTGAACAGATTACAAGACAAGCATGATAATATTTATGTACATATGTATGAAAAAAGAATAAAAAATAATGGACGAAGATAAAATAAGAATTGCACCGTGGAACGCCAATGGCGTTCTTATTAAAAAGCATATATCAGAAGTATTCTTAAGGACCCAAAATATTGATATATGTTTAGTAACGGAGACACATTTAAAACAGCAAACATAGATATAAAACAAAATGGTTACATAGAATATAAATAAAGCGGCGCATCCTAGCCAATTTCTTGCTGTATAGAGTCTTATAAACAAAATTTCGATATTGATGTACTTTACTGTCATCCGGGACGTGTTATAAAGAGTGGTTCATTCAAATATCTCCTGAATCTCCTTAAATAAAGGTTTATTCTGGGAGGTGGCTGTAATTCCAAACATATTGAGTAGGGTTCTAGATTGACCTCAACAAGACGAAGAGAGCTAAGAAAAGCTATTAAAGAGATTGGTAGTCACTTGTATAGGTAAACCAACATATTGGCCAAGTGATAGAAATAAAATATAAGATCTGCTAGACTTCCTTATTGTCAAGAAAATCTTGCCAAATTTCATTAGTTTAGAAGATAACTATGATTTGGATTCGGATCATTGTGCAGTTATATTAAATTTAACTGAGACAGTTGCCAAAAAACAAAATAAGCCTGGAATAATGCCTGGAATAATACAAAACAATATGAGTATAAATCCGTGCGTATCTGAGGCAAATACCGAATATGATAAGCGAAAAGGAAAGAGCTATACGCAGATGGCAATCCTCACGAGATCCAACAGATAAAACTGCACTCAATCGACTCACTCAGAATCTAAAAAGAAAAATCAAAGAAGATTCATTTAATATTTACATTAAAAATTTGTCAGCCGAACAAGAAAGTAATTATTACTTATGGAGGGCTGCAAAAAATATAAAAAAGTCAATCTTACAAGTCCCCCCTGATAGGGGAACAGATGGCAAATGGGCAATAGAAAATAAAGATAAGGCTGAATATTAGTAGATTATCTTGAACAAATTTTCAGGCCAAATGACATACACTCAAACATAAATATTGCAATGGGAAATATGAGAGCAGAATACGTTATCGCTCCGTTTGCACAAAGAGAAATAGTGGAAGAAATTAAAATTTAAAATCAAGGAAAGCACCGGGTTATGATTTAATTACAATTACCAAAAAAGGGTATAACAATGTTGACTTTTTTATTGAATTCTGCATTAAGGTTAAAATATGTGCCTAATGCTTGGAAGGTGGCAGAAGTTAGAATGATACCTAATCTGGTAACCTTTAAATGAGACCAAGTCTTATATGCCAATTTCTCTGATATTTCTCTGACATACACTCAAACATAAATATTGCAATGGGAAATATGAGAGCAGAATACGTTATCGCTCCGTTTGCACAAAGAGAAATAGTGGAAGAAATTAAAATTTAAAATCAAGGAAAGCACCGGGTTATGATTTAATTACAATTACCAAAAAAGGGTATAACAATGTTGACTTTTTTATTGAATTCTGCATTAAGGTTAAAATATGTGCCTAATGCTTGGAAGGTGGCAGAAGTTAGAATGATACCTAATCTGGTAACCTTTAAATGAGACCAAGTCTTATATGCCAATTTCTCTGTTACAAATTTTGTCGAAACTTTTTGAAAAGTTATTACTAAAAAGAATGGGACCTATAATTGAGGAGAGATAATTAATTTTGAACCACCAATTTGGGTTTAGAGCAGAACATTCAACTACTAATCAAATTCATAGAATTACATAATATATTATTGAGCAAGCCCTAGAGGAAAAGCAAAGTTGTGCAACAATTTTTATGGATGTGGCACAGGCTTTTGGTAATGTTTGGTATCAAGGATTTAAATACAACTTAGAAAAAATATTACCAAAACAATATGGAGATATTTTGTCTTCTTATTTAATCGACAGATTATTTAGAGTCAAACAGGAGAGGGACTATTCCACACTTAAAGAAATAAGAGCAAGAAATTTTTACAAGAAATATGTCTCAAATAGAAAACACAATTTTGGCTACAAATGCTGGCGATACTGCGATTGTGTCAGTAGCATCAAATATTGACGACGCCATAAGAAAGTTGCAGCAGGCAAGCAATAGTTTTGATGCTTGGACCAAGAAATGGAGAATACAAGTAAACAAGCTTGCACAAGTAAATTTTAGAAATAAAGTTCTTGTAAACCGCTCTCTCCCCTTGTGTTAATTTAAATGGGATAAATATTGCACAAAAAAATGCAGCACAAGATCTGGAAGTAGCACTGGATGTCAAGCTAAAATGGAAAGATCATTTTAAGAAAAAAAAAAAACAGAATTAGAATTAAAATATAAAGAAATGTATTGGCTCCTAGGTCGCAAGTCAAGGTTGCCGATACAGAATAAGGTCCTGCTCTAAAACCACATTATTAATTCGGTTTGGTTGTGTGGTATCCAGTTGTGAGGATGCGCCGAACAAATAAATGTCCAGCGAATACAAACGTTCCAGAATAGGGTTTTCGGAATATGATGGATGCCCCTTGGTATGTGCTAAATGGAGATTTGCACAGAGATCTAAAAATTCCTCTCCTCCTAAAAGTAGAGGCCTCTCGGCTCCATGTTATCCGGGATTCTCCCAGAAGACTAAAAAGAACTTTGCAAAATGCGCTTCACCAAATCGAGTACCGTTGAATTTCTTTCAATCTATATTAAAGAAAATTTTATGGTTGGTCTAAGGGGACTATTATCAGAATATATAATATCAAGGAGGAAGTTTTGGTAGTAAAATACATAACTAACTATGGGTTGCCTTCCTCCTTCCTTCGATGAAAAAAATTTTTAAATTTTTGGTTTAAAATTCAAAGCTCTTGAGTTTCTATATTTTAATAAGGCCTTTAAAATCTTGAAACGTAATTGATTTTTTTTGCTAGTTCTTCAAAATCACAAGTTCAAATTTGCTAGGGCTTAGAAATTATTTATTTTTTATACTAAAATGTTATTTCAAGTTAATTTACGGTTTAACTGGTTAGAGTACCAGTTTTCCTTTCCAAAGTTCTTAGAATAGATCCAAGAATATTGTAAGAAAAGTATGAAATTCTAAAGAAAAACATTTCTATAACAAATTATTATTACTGACAAGGCGTTTTGTTACAAACGATCATAGAGACGAAAACCATCTGTAAAGTTTGCATGCAAATGAGATTTTGAGTAAGTGAGGTCTATTTTTACTCGATTATCCTGAGCACTGTAAAAAGGAAGATCCGCTTATTGCTCGGTGTATGTTACTTGTTATACAACATTTTTCTGTAATATATTTATTCTGTAATCTATAAACTTGCACGTTAAATGGAGAATGTAAGGATTTTTTGAAAAAAAAAATCTGGTGTGGTCAACACATAACTGACCGCAATGTGAATTGTCTAGTTAAGTGAAAGTGTTGCAGAATATTATAAAAATGCCTGGTTAATGCTTCTTTTCAATTTTTAGGGCATCTGTAAGCTTATAGTTAACATACCAAAAGAAATTTAAAGTTGGTTTTTAGTAGAGCTTCGCTTTGTGCTACCCGAATTCCCTGAAATGCTCACCAATTAGTTTGGGTAACAACCAGAACTCAAATATCAAATTTCAAGAAATTCCATCAATCTGTTCCGTAGATATGGTAAAAAATGTAAAATCGGCCCTCAGATCAATTTCTTTCCAAAAAAAGAGCTTTGATCTTTCCAAAAAATTTATATGTTTATTGCTTTAATACGAAGAATTTAAATATTAAATTTCAATGAAATCGGTTGATTATTTCTCTTTATATACTCAAAAGTGTATGCTTAGGTGTTATATGAATTTTCAAGTAAATCTGTCCAATATTTTCTTCATAATGATCAAAAATGTGAAACAGCTTCGCTAAAAGTGCAGTTCCCGATGCCTGATATATCCCAAAAGTTGAACAATCCATATTATAGTCGAAATAAACTTAAATGAAAAATTTCATCAAAATCGGTTCAGTCGAACTTGAGACACACGAGTGCACATACAGACTGACAGACCGATAGGTTGCTAAAAATAGTTTATTTACGTTTTCCACCTAATGGATAATGGAGAAGTGCATTCCCACCTACAACTCGACATGCGAAATTTGTTGGCACACATAACTTATCTATTGTAGAAGATAGAATAACGAAAAGTTTGTTTTTCAAGATATAAATCATTTTTAAAAGAGATCGGTTTTTAAATGCCAACATTCAAATTCCATACATTTAACAATGAAATAAAGAAATGTAACAATTAAAATTTTTTTCTAATTTTTGTGAGATTTTAAAATATTTTAGGTATAAAAAGGAATTGGAATTGAGGTGTTTATAATTTAAATTAAGTTTCGTTCCTGTATATTGTTCTTAATGTGATACTTTATTGTAAAAGGTATACATAAGATGAGCATACTTATTTTAATTGGAATAACTCTTATGTACTCTGGAATGTTACGCTTTTGTGTCAGAAATTTTGTATGTCATACATAACATAGTGAAATATGCATATGTTAGGGGTATGTGTACAAGTGTCAATATTTTAATAAATTATTTTTCTTGAAGTATTCGCTGAAACCTGAACCGCTGAAACTGTTTCATTCTAATTACTGAAACAAATTAAAGTTACTGCCATATTCTTTAATCATGAAATGAAAATTTTTAAGTGAGTAATTGTTGAATGAACACAGTATCGTTAATTTTAACGAGGGAATTTTGTAAGAATTTTCGAGAATAAAACTTTCTTCTACAAAAATTCTCTAACAAATATGTAGAAATTTGGTGTTTATGTTTTACTTGTATATTTTTGCAAAAATAAACTGATTCGCTTTTCTTTGACTGATGATTTTCAATATGAAGACTAATGTCTTCATTTCATTTTGATGAAATATTTAACATATTTTTTAACATCAGTTCATAGTAATTTGTTTTTCATATGTTTTATTTTCAGGTGAATCTCTTTACACCAGATATATACGTTCAAGCACTGCCAGAAATTTTTGAAGGACCAACTGCCAATATATATGGAATTGTAAGAGTTACAGACAAAGATTTAGGTATTCATGGAGAAATAAAAAGTTTAGAAATTGTTAATGGAGATCCAGATGGCCATTTTCGAATAGTTAAAACAGATAAGTCTGGTGAATACAATATTGAAATTCAACGTTTATTAGACCGTGAACGCACCCCCTTAGGTTATAACTTAACTTTACGCGCCGTAGATAATGGTATACCGCCACAATCGAGTTATAAAATAGTGCCTGTACATTTAGCTGATATAAATGATAATGCTCCGGTATTCAATCGGGAAATCTACGAAGTTTCTGTACCAGAAACTTCACCACCAAATACACCTGTGATAAGACTTAAGGTTACTGATCGTGACCAAGGTAAAAACGCTTTAGTATTTCTTGAAATAGTTGGAGGGAACGAAGGTGGAGAATTTCGAATTAATCCAGACACCGGAATGTTGTATACTCAAAAATTGTTAGACGCAGAAACCAAAGCATTTTACACGCTAACAGTTTCAGCGATAGATCAAGGTAACTCCGGTATGAGGATGCAATCTTCAGCAAAAGTTAAAATCAATGTACAGGATACTAATGATAATGATCCAGTATTTGAGAATATAAACAAAACGATTTGGATTGATGAAAATGAACCATCTGGTACAACGGTAACTAAAGTAACAGCTAGAGACCGTGACTCTGGAGAAAATGCTTATATTTCATATAGTATAGCAAATTTGAACGATGTGCCATTCGATATAGATCATTTTTCTGGTGTTGTACGAACTTCAAAACTTATAGATTATGAAAGTATGCGGCGAGAATATATTTTAAGTTTGAGAGCTTCAGATTGGGGTTTACCTTATCGACGACAAACCGAAATGGAATTAATAATTCGAATTCGTGATGTTAACGACAATAGACCTCAATTTGAAAGAGTAGATTGTATTGGCCATATCCCCAGAGAGCTTCCAATAGGAACAGAAATTTTAACATTATCAGCTATAGACTTTGATTCGGGAAACTATATTAGTTATCGTTTGATATCCGGAAATGAAGATAATTGTTTTAATTTAGATCCTACATCTGGAGTAATTTCTATTGGTTGTGATTTAATCGACATTGGTACTGACGCACGAGAAGTTAACGTAACTGCTACAGATGGTACTCATTTCGCAGATGTAATGACCATCAAGATCAACCTTATTAATGCAAAAAGAAATTTTGCAGCATCTGGAAGTGTCTTTCCTAATCAAATGAATCGCCTTGGTCAACCTGTGGAAGAAAGCAGTCATTTTGAATGTCGTGACACAGGTGTAATTCGACGACAAGCGGAAATATTGGCTGCGGCTGAAAAAAATAATATGCCGGGGAGGGAGTATAATGCTCGTGATGATTTCGTGATGATGCCAAGTCGGTACGGAGAAAACCAACACACGCCAGAATTCGTAGAATTCCCAAATGAATTACGTATTAATGAAACTGTAGCATTAGGAACAACTGTGGGATGGATAAAGGCGCGTGATCGTGATTTGGGTTATAATGGAAAATTGGTTTTTGGTATATCAGATGGAGATCACGATTCTGTGTTTCGAATAGATCCTGAAACTGGTGAACTACAAATAATTGGATACCTAGATCGTGAAAGGGAAGATGAATATGTGCTAAATGTTACAGTGTATGATTTAGGTAAACCGCAAAAATCTTTATCAAAGATGTTGCCAATTTTTGTAATTGACGAGAACGATAATCCACCTAAATTCTCAAAATCACTAGCGTCATTTCGTGTAACTGAAAACGCTATTAATGGAACAATCATCTTTCAATTAAATGCAACAGATGCTGATTTAGGGGAAAACGCTGCTATTACGTATACGATGGTAACCGACACAGATGATTTTCAAGTTGATCCTAAAACCGGGATATTATTTGTAAACAATCGTTTAGATAGAGAGCGTCAAGAAATCTATGAGCTTAGAATAAGAGCAACCGATGGTGGGGTTCCTAATAAAAATAAACCACCAATAGCAACTTTGCATTCTGATGCTATAGTTAGAGTAAGTGTTGACGACATAAATGATAATGCTCCGGAATTCACTCTAAATGAATATACATTTAGAGTTAGAGAAGATATTCCTCGTGGTACTGTGATAGCTATTGTTAGCGCTACAGATTTAGATATTGGCCCAAGTGGAGAAGTATTATATTCTCTTAGCGAAGATGATGATGAAGAAAAATTATTTAAAATTGATAAATATAGTGGGACTATACGTACAGAAAGTTTTCTTGATTATGAGGAACGCCAAGTTCACAGCCTCACGGTTCGTGCCATTGATCGAGGAACACCAGCATTATCATCAGAAGCAACTGTAATTATTGAAATTATTGATGTGAATGAGAATCGATATGCTCCAGAATTTCAAGATTTTGTATTAACTGGTAGTATATTAGAAAACCAACCGCCCGATACCCTTGTTATGAATATAATTGCTACTGACGCTGATCCACCTGGCCCAGATTCAAAGGTTTCTTATTCTATACGGGGAGGAGATGGATTAGGAATTTTTACTATATCTAATGATGGTAAGCTTTTTTGATTAATTATACACAATTAAAGATTCAGTAGATTTTGAAAATTTTTGCGAATGAACGATTGAACGAAAGGGATTTTTTTTGCCCTGTTCTAATATTATGGCCCTTATATTTTGATTAAAGTAAAAAAAAAAAGTAAAAGTGTATAAATGTTTGAAAATATCAGTAATGTTTTAGGAAGAATTTAAAGTTTTACTTCAAAAACGGAAGACCAATTAATTCGAAAAAATTCATTGAGCTATTTTGTTGCATGTTGGCTTTGTAGCATAATTAATATACTAATTTCGTAATCTCTCTTTTGAGTCTTAAAAATAAAGATACAACTAATTCTTATATTATTTTAAAAATTCAAAAGCTAGTTTTTGAATAATATAATTTTACAATATTATATTTAAATATATTTTAATATGTAAAGGATAGCTTTGCTTTATTATTATATAATAATAAATATATAATAAAAGTAGTCTAATAGTTTATATTAATATACTATGAAACTACTTTACATGAGTACTTCAATCACTTCAATACCCAAAACATGTTTAGAAAGTTTATATTTTAACATATTATCGTCTTTGATGAAGCCGTTTTAATGAATACAAAATGTGTGATGTTAAAATTTCAGCATACAAATGTAATGTCACTACAATTTTAAGATTATGAACCAAATTTTATGTTGAAAGCGAAGCTAAAAGCAGCTTTAAAACCTGTAAAAAAAAAGTTAATATAATTTCAACCAATAGAATATGAAAATCTTTTATAAAGTTTTAATATACATCAGGGTCGTAAAATTTCCTATGCTTTCATATAATGATAAATTTGTTTGTTCAAAAAAATTCTCCTATTTTTCACTATTCTTTATATATTCAAGTATTCAGATTTTTATCTCATATATATTATATTTTGCATTGAAGTTTTAAAATAAATTTAAATTGCAAGTATTTCATTTTCTAAAATAAATAACACACTTTTTGTTCCTTAATAATCATAATATACATATGTAATGTATATGCTTATATGCCATATACTTAAATTGATACATTTTTGAATTTATGAAATATAATGAAATATAAAGGTCATTTTGGCAGAAATGTCAATGTGAAGAATAAGTCAGGAACATATACATATGTATGTATATATAAATATGCTTTGTGTATTGCAATCATTAGGTATACAAAAGCAAAAAAACAGCTTATAATATAAATTTTAATTTATGACAAAGCATTTTTAAATTCATGAAAAAGCAAGTGTATTGATAAGAAAATTCTATAAATTGATGAAATCTGATGTGATCAGCACATAACCGACCACAATGTGTATTGTCTAGTTAAGTAAAAGTGTTACAGAATATTATAAAAATGTCTGTTAAATACTTCTTTCGAATTTTTAGGACATTAGTAAGCTTATAGTTAACATACCTACAAAAATGTAAATTTGGCTCTTACTAGAGTTTCGCTTTGTGCTAGAACTCCAATGTCAAATTTCAAGAAATTCCATCAATTCGTCCCGTAGATATGGTGAAAAATGTAAAATCAGCCAGCGCATCAGTTTCCGAGCCCTGATCTTACCAAAAAATTTATATGTTCATTGTTTTAGTATGAAAAATTTAAATATTGAATTTCAATGAAATCGGTTGATTATTTCTCTCTATGTACGCAAAAATGTATATTTGGCCGGTAGTAAACGTCCAGTTGCTAACGCCTGATTTCTTCCAAAAGTTAGCAGGTTTCACAGACGGTTGAGCTTAGCTTATATATGAAATTTCAAGAAAATCTATTAAATATCTGTTGAGTAAAGATAAAAACCGTAAAGTAAAATTTATTATGTGAATAGCCAGTTTGATTTCTTAAATATTTGATACTATTCTACTTAAAATTTCGATATTTTGAAGCATGAATCAAGGTAACAGACGATTTTACAACTTTGTCTATGTAATTGAAAAATTTTTAATCTTTTAATCGGTTTGAAGAGCACTGAGCTTTGTTCTTCTAAACCTAAGAACTAAAATTCATTTTATTCTTTTAGATAATGTGGATATAGTTCTTAAAAGTGAGAGAAAATTAATATTCTCGTTAATGTTATTTAGCCAGTGCGGATACATTTAAGTGAAACTGATCATATATGTATAAATATATGTACATTGTCTCAATGTATGTGTATACATGTATAAATACGAGTATATGTACATTGTATGTTACACTCTAGAAATAATATGCGAATGTCTTTATACATGTAAAGACTGAACCTTATATGTATACTAAGGGGTGAATTTAGTCTTTTTCTCGAAATTAATCAAAATGTAATAAGTGTACGGCCTAGGCTTTTAAATACTTTCAACAAAAATTTGCGATAAGTTAGACAATTTATCATAAAGCGATTTTATGTGTGTTAACGTGAGTTTCATTGAGTAAGACATGGCTAATGAAAAATTGTTTTATTTGGGGGAAAGGAGTGATTCATCCAATTTCCTGATTTATCATCAACTAACAATTATTGTTATTACACTGAAAAGCATAACAAAGTTGATTTACCGAGTTAAATCGATTATAGATATTTGAAATTATTAACAACGTTTGTGTATCGCAAATGCAAAAATGTTGGTTAACTTAAAATGAAAATTTTTGAGGATGAAAGATTTTCCGCATTTTGTCACCGAAAAGCAAGTCATAAGCAATTAACAATTTAGATTATTTAAAAGTTTGGGACAGTTATTCTATTAAGTCCTCCTTCATACTCGCTTCAATATAAAATAATATACCTTTTTTCTCAAAATATAGTTGATAATTATGAATGTTAGTTTATTCCTGGAAGTAAAAAAAAATCTTTACAATTATTAAACAAAAATGTGAACTTTGTATAGTTATTATAATATAATAATATAAATTTTTCAAACAGTTTAAATACAAAAGGTGATATATAATAAAAAGAAAATGAATAAATTTTTTATATTTTGTCTATTCCCTTTTTTTTATTAGAATAAGCTTACATAATGCACGTATTCTATTTATAACATTTTTCTAGAAATTTATTATATAAAAACAATGTTTACCATTATCAGAAAAGATTGAGGTTTTCACAATTCTACTTTTAATTTGTCTCATTTTATAATTTTTCATATTTTTTTTTTATTTTAATTTCATTTAATTCATGATCATGCTTTTGCACAATTTCAGGGTCGAGGTCTAATTTTTTTCTTTTCATAAACATTATTTTATTTTTTATCTTCATTAATATCTACTGCATTTCTTTTTGAAGTATATACATATATATGCATATGTACATATACATACTTTGCTCAGTTTATGTGACAAAAATATTTTTTGGAGAGAATCATGTATCTAATAATTGTCTTGCAATGGCATTAATGTTACATTAAATCACCATGATACTTGTATAGGTAAGATTTTATAATTTGATCAAATTAATTAAATCCTTTTGTAATGATCTGATGGGGGATAAATGTAATCAAAAGATTAAAACATTTCCCAATTATGACAAAAATTGTGTTATATTAAGGAAATAATAATTGGATATTAAATTGTGTGTCGTTAGTTAAATTTAAAAAAGAATTTTTTAAAATGGATACTTAAGGAAAACTAAATTTTTTCAACATTTATAAAGGCAGCTTTAAATAAAATCTCATTTCAAATTTGAAGCTTTTCAAATTTTCTACCAATGTAAAGTGCACATTTTTCTTAAATAAATTTTCGCTTTATTATACTCAATTAAGTGTGATTTTTTTTTATAAAATGTACGATTCTAGTCGTTAAATATTAAATTCTTCTATTATTTACATAGTTTACCTGCAGTTACTTAACAGTACTATATAAAAAATGCAACTGCGCATAGTATAAAATCAAAACTGTTAAGTAGTATAAAATTTTCAAACATTTTGTATTGTGAACATAAAATATATATTAATACAAGCAATGTCAATCAAAAAATTTTTTAATGGAATATGTCAAACAGTTTTTAAAAATAAACTGAGATTTTCAAAATAAATAATTTTTAGCTAGTTTAAAATAACTAAAATGCTTTAATTTATGGAAAATTTTTAACACCATGTGTCAAAGGTAAGAAATTATATTTTGAAGGTCACATTTGAAGAAGGTTACACCGTAAATAAAACAAAAATTTTATTAGAGAGTTTAAGAAAATTTTTAATATTTTTTTTTATTCGTCGCTTCGTTGTTTGTAACTATTCCAGTTTTCTTGGTTAACAATAATTAATTATTAAATTTCAAGAAAATTTAGATATCCTACGGTTGATTACACGAAGAAGCACCGTTTTTTTTTTGTTATTTTCATATTTTTTTTACTGAATTTCAGTTTTAATTATATTTATTTAAAAATAAAAATAAAACAACCAAAATATTAAGCGAAAAGAAAAATGTCCTGTATAAATGAAGAATTTCTAAAAATAAAAGAAAGAAAAAAATGCAAATTTTTTTTGTTATTCTTTTGCTTTTTCTTCATTTTTTTTCAATTAATTTCATGGGTATGCCAGGAAAAAAGGCAAAATCATCACGATGAAATCAAAAAGGACAAAAATCTATAGAGGTACCTAACATTGAAGTAAACCAAGTTAATTATACAAAATTTTTTTACATACATCTACTCTTAATTGCAACTAAATCAAATAAAGTATAAAAAAGTTTAGGTTAATATAATATGAAATTTTAAGTATGTTCGTTCCAATATATGTGTATTTTTTTGTATTTGTAATACATATATGTATGTACATACACTTCACATTATATTTTATGTATATGCTTTGTATAAAAATTTCTGCTATACAAATTTATGTTTATTTAATGCTGAATAAGCGGACAGACTAAACCCTTAATTTAGTAATTAATTTTTTTTATAACAAGAGCAAAACAATATTCTTGTTTTATGTGCACACAGCAAAATTTCATTAAGCATGTGTATATATGGAGTTCCTGATATACATGTTTGTTATACGTGTATTACGTTTATAGTAAAGCTAATTA